AAACCAATGGACCTCTTCAGAATTATTCCCCTAAAGTCTGTAAATGCTAAAATACTGCTAACCCGCTTCATAGTGCAGCACATTCTGCTGTGATTACAATATAGTAGCAGAACATTAGCATATGTGCAGTGCAACCCCCCCGCGCTTAGGATTGCCGTCTGATGGTTTTGTTTTGGCCTGTGGCTGCAATTGGAAAAGCAAATGAGCAGCTGAAGATAAGGAGCGTGTGTCTGACACATCGAAATAAGACGGCGATATTGCTTTGATCGAGGCGACTCATCACCCTGCGAATTGTTGCTCAATAACCACACAGCATTCAAAAGTTGTCAACATGCGCTTTAATAAGACGCAGCGGATATCTTTGGCTGCCAGAAATGTTATTCATTTCAACATGTGACAGACACCATATTTCAGCGACAGCCGCTGCTCCGGCAAATCCCAGTGTGGGGGTTGTGCGACGCGCACACGTGCTACTCTTGACTAATGTGAATGCACGTTTGAATGATCATAACTGAGAGGACACCAGCACCTACTCTATGTGGTTGTGCCCATCAAAGGCTGCTAGTAAAGGTCGTAAAGAGGCCTCCCCAGGACTGCCGAGGCGCTGTTCATTAGGCGCTCTGATTGTGGATCGTTTCGATGAACTGCGGATGAGCGAGGCTCGTGCTCCGGGTGAGATAACTCGCCGTTTGTCCGCACGCAGCCGGTTTGTGCCAAAGGGGGGGAAATGTCCGCTTAATTAAATCAATTAGAGCATGAAGGGCCTCCGCTGAAAACAACCCGATAGAACCAACTATGAACAGTAGATGAACTCTTTGCGCGAGTCACTCGATGCAAACTATTCAAGAATCAAACATCCAATCGTAACCTCAAAGTCAGTCAAATCCAATCGGTGATCGGGGGTAAACCCCCATAATCACGCACGTTACTCCCTCGTTCTTGCATTTCCTTCATTCATTTCCGCCATCACTCCTTTCAGGCGTCTCTGTACACCATCCGCCCATCACAAAGTCCGCGGCTGGGACTTTGTGGAGCAGAAGAGTGTAAAGCCGAGATACTGCACCACTACTACAAAGGGCTTTACTCCCTCCCACCCTCATCCTCTCCCCGACCCCCTTCTCCTTCGCTCCAGGGTCCCCTCAGCGTCGCAGAGGAGGATTAGGCGCGGTGCCCAGTGGTGACACGGGGACACCGGAGCCGAGGCTGTTGGTTCAGGCGTTGGGCTTGAATTAGGAACTCGAGCCGGGTGGCAGAGGACGTGAGAGAGGTGATGATGGAGCTGGAGGAGGAGACAGTACTCAAGGAACAAAAGAAAAACACCCAGGAGAGAGCGAGCACTGAAACGCAAAACTGCTGATAAGCAAAAATAAAATAATAGTTCCAATGCAAACAAAAGGTGTGAATTAAAATGCGTGTGGCTACTGCTGGGTTTGAAAAAAGGGTTTGAGAATACTTAGAGCCGGCCGCGGCACTGGCTGCTATGTACTTGTAAGCGTTCAGTTTAAAGCACCATTGTGTCCATCAGCAAGGTCACGATTTAACATGTTGACTTGCCGATGTTGAATAGAAATATTAAAGTACTACCAAAGAATATCTCATTAGAAAACATAAATGTCTAGTTTTTGTCCTCATGAATATCGGAGTACCAAAAGTCATTGAGATTCATCCATTTGGGAGCACAATGTTTGTTAACAAACAGCAGTTTGGACTGAAATGTTGGCCCAACCAACATTACATGCTGGTCCAACAAAAGCATAATAATCAAGACATTTCTTGCATAACACATGGAAGATATGAATAGACATAAAACCAGCCATCTCATTGTAATACTAGCAGAGATCCTGTTGATGCTCCCAGGTCATGGGGTAATAGAAAGGAGGTCTTTTGTCATACATGTGCGTGCTGTCAGTTTAATGTCTACACATTCCCCAGACTGCAGATGATTGCAATGACAATAGAGTGACCTTTATCTCGCTACCAACGCGACGCTCTTCATGAGGAACCCATCTGTGCTTTCACTTATTAATTCCGTCTCAGCGAGATTAGGATTTCCTCAGGGCGGTCGACATCCATTTCTGCTAAGCCAAAATAACACATTTTGATCTCTATTCCCTGCATCAGAGAGAGGGTCACTCGCAACACGCAACGATGGAACTGAAAACCATTTGGCATCAATACAGACGTTAATATAAAGTTATGTTAGGTGATTTTGTTTGGAATGGGCAGCTATTTAAAATGTAATTTCCAGGAGAAACTCCATGGGAATGTTAGAAAACGACACACTGAAGCTAAAACTCTTGTCACAGCGCGCACACTAAAGAGAAAAACCTTAAACTACTAAAATAACATTAATACATAAGACCATATTAACGTATTCATCTTTAACGTTTAATTTTCCTAGACTGGTGCATGTATTATTATTATGCTCCTTCGTGTCATGGCATCTCATATTCTGGTTCAGTCAAAATCTCACAGAACTAAAGGCGAAAAAGAAACGCTACACGCGTCGGCGCTACACGACATCCGATCGCTTCCATTGGGCGAAGACATTTGAGGCCCATTAAGCACATGAGCGCGAGAGACACATGCAGAGAAATTAGTCCCAGCTCATAAATGTGCAATCGCATATAGAGAAGAAAGAGGATGGGGCTCATTATCGCATTTGTTAAGATGGGATTTAAATGACATGTTTGTGTGTCAAGTGCTTGACGTAGAAGCAAACAAATCAGACAGAATAAAAATCAAATGCAAGGCGACAAAAGTCACTGCAGAGGCCAATTCATAACCTGCGCGTGGAAGTACGATTGTTGAATACAAGTCAATGCACATTTTAAAATGTTGTTTGCTTCCACCAACAAGTGACACCAAACATACACACATATCCATATACGTATCTATAGACCTGAGTCCAACTGGTAAAAGAAGCAGCCTCCTTTAACTCGTTTTTTAAAGACCAAACATCTTATGAGTGAGTGAGTAGATGCGGCTCCCATAGTGTCCTCGTGATCCACGGTGACCACACCACCAGTTTTTCACATCACAAGCACGTCACACGTGATTCAGTCAGATTGACCCTTATCTGGTCGGGGATTGGGAAATAAAACATGACTACATTTTCTCTCCCTGGAATTTGTTGCGCTATTCACCAGTAAGACCACTGAAAATGTCCCCGCGAGGTGTCAATAAGAAAGTCAAGCAATAACAACCTGACCTGTTCGTTCTTTGTATCGGTCCGGGGATGACGTTAATCATTAACGCGCAGGGGATTACAGCAAAGTGCACCATGTACAGAGGTTTTTTGCAATTCAATGAATCAGTCAAGTGTTTTCTCAATCTATTTGCATGTAAATTGGCAGAAAATGTTTGGTTAAAAACAAATTAAAAAAAGATTGATCACAAACTTGTTAGGCCCGAGTCCATATTAAATTGGTCCAAACAGCAGTCCGAGCACGCAGGATATTTAATTTACAACAACCTGACAAGTCAACCGCACACTGAAGGGATTTGCAACAAGCTGAACCTGCAGGTGCAGCATGACAGACGTGCAGCAGCCCGTGTGCCTGGAACACAAGTGCCTTTGTACTATTTAAAGAATGAAAGAAATGTGTCTGTGACTGATGATCGGTTTTAAAATATCTTCTTTCCGGTTTAATCTTATTCCAAGACGTGTGGGAAATGCTTCGTGCTTTCACCTGTTTGACTACCACGGCGTTCAATAGTTACAAGCAGTATCAGGTAAATGTTTGAAGGCTTAATCGAAGTGAGACTTGAAGGGCCACATAGTTGACCTCTTGAAAAATGTGTTTGTAGTAAATGTATGTACCTAGTTACTGGTAAAGAAATGTACATGGCATATACCTTTTTACACATATTACTTATTATTTAACTTATTTGTCCAGCTGTCCTTGTTCCAAATCGTTATAACTATAGCTTTGATATTTAAAAAAGTGAATTGTGAAAAATGTAGCAGATTAGAAAAATGAAATAGCATGTAACAGTAAAACTCAAATTGAGGAGAGTCCTACAGCTCGACCTTTAATTGATTGTAGTGAGATTTCAAAAATGAGAAACGTGCGAGGAATTTACAAACCACATCCCTTCCTTCTGTTAAACTTATTGACTTGTGATTCAAGATAGGAAGCGATTGCGATATAGGACCGACAGTCACTTCAACATGCCCGAAACTCCCCATATCTGCGCGTGACCGCCCTGCACAGAGGGCGTGTCTGCAGAGAAAGGTGTGCCGTCAAAGTGCCTTACCTGCGAGCACAAACGAGCCGAATCACGGACACCGACGCCTCAAGACGCAACATTATTCTCGACTTTTGGAAACTAGTAGAGAGGATTTCTCTCATTAATGAGCAACCGGTCCAGACAAGGAGGCGAGGCGACGAAACCCCGTCGTGTGCGCTTGGGATCGGGGGACGGAGCCACTGGAAACACGGCATGTGCCACAGACGCGTCTGTGGCGTTGTGGCAAATGTGGTTCGTCGTGCACGTCACCGCGTGTTTTAAACAATACGCTCCGGCGGCACGCGCCACGCCGATGGACAAATGTCCGCCTGTGGTTTGAACACAAGTCCACGAAGAACACAAAATGTAGAATTTAAGTCGACGAAATGTCCCGGAGAACTGAAGTGTGCGGCGGTCGCCGGTCTCCACGGGCCTTTTAACAAGCGGCGCGATGGAATATTTCAAAAAGGTCAAGCGGATGAATTAAAACTTAAAGTGTTTCGGTTGTGAGGACAACAAAGAACGCGCCGTGTCACCGCAACGCGCCCGGACGACGTCTGGCTAAACCGCAAAGACAAAGACCCGGCGTCACGTCCACAAAGTGAGCGGAGTCAACCGTAGCCTCCTTTTTTAATCAATATTAAGTCATTCATATTTGTATGAGGGGGGAGAACAACACAAACAATAGGGGACGTTTAAATGGCGCTTGAGTGGACAGTCGCCCGTCCAACTTGCACCCCACATTTGCGCGGCGGCGGCGGTCTTACCTTAGTGCTCCCTCCGGAGACAACGGGCAGACGGGGACGCGCTGCGCCGGAAGGACAAACAAACGCTAACTGAGCCCGCGTTAGGACGACGCGATGGCGGTCTGCTTCCACATGTCCCCGGGTCACACGATTTATTTCTCTTTTAAAACAGACCGACTGTGTGCCGCTCGACCTCTCCGCGTTTAGTTTTTCCTGTCGCAGGCTGACTGCCTCCACCTCAACCACTGGCGTCAAGCTAGACCGGATGTGCGGTCCACTTCCGCCGGGAGATTTCAAAGTAAGACTGCATTTGGAAATCAGACCGTGACTATCGGGCGATAGAGGAAGAGCTGAGATTCTTTACAAAAATAGAAATGGCTTTGTCGATGTTATTATCATTATTATCAAAAAAAGTAGCAAAAGTACTAACTATGCAGGATACCCCCTTACCTGTTATATTGCTATAGACTGTTGCACTTTTCTGTTTCCCATCACCATATGACAGAGACTATTCATTTAATTTCTTACTGTCAAAAAATAGTTTGGGAAGGGCTCAAAATTCCGTTAATAAAAACGGTGATATAGTGGAACTACCAGATGTTACAAGTGAAGGACTCACGAAAGAGCATCTAGATTCTGTGTCTAGATTCTAGACATTATCAGCAATAGTGGTAGAAAAACAAATCAGTACCACAAAAAGTACTGTCGATACAGATTACAGACACGGTTTTTATTTTATTTTTATGCTGTTTACATACATTTTGTCTGATTGAACACAGTTTTAATAACATTGAAAATAAACTATAATTTTGTAAAGTATTTCTTTCCGGTGTATTTTGGTCATCTTGATTGCCGGTTTTGTTGGTGACGTCACCAACGCCGGGGCTGGTACAGGACAACGCCGGAGGAGTAGGGACAAACTCTGGGGGCTATGGCGCCTCTTGCTGAGAACAATGACAAATTTGGATCACGTTATTTTTTATCATTGGCATTAAATGTATTTATTCAGAAACTGAATGGACCTCATTTTGACGTTCGAATAAATTCCTAAAATGAATTAGAGGTGGATTCATTAGTATTTTCTTCACTCAATGGGGGAAAATGAGATGTACGAATGAACTAGATGCTATAGCTTACTGCTAAGTAGATGTGCTCTTTAACAATGCTGGCGGCATTTATACGGGCTGATTTATACGTCGTGGAAAGAGTGTCGGATGAGTAAACTTTGAGCTTTATACCCACAACTACGTCAACATGAGTCAGTCCCCGGTCACAAAAGAAGGTCCAGCTCAATCATAAGATCTGTCTTTTGACTCAAGGTATTACCCACCTTTTCCTGTTTATTTACTCGAACAGTTGTTTTTGTTTTACGAAAACGTCTTTGGGTTATTATTGACGATTTCAAACAGTTTGTAACAACAGAGGGAGGTACCGTAAACACTGGTTAAACCCAGGATTACACCATGTCCCCTATACGCCACAAGTTGCACAGCAGCTACAGCGTATAACAGCCAGCTCACCGCCTACACAGCGGTCCATTCAGTTAGAAAGTACGTCTTTCATAGTCACATTTCCACTTACACGTCTTGAGACATTGATCTCTGAAACAGTTCCATTAGGTCTGGTACACTAAACAACTTTACTCACGTGTTTCTTGTTCCACAGCGCCTCCACGTGTCTAAACCTCATTCCTACATCGGAGGGGAAAGTTGAGGTTTCTATAGTAACCTGAAGTTCTGGCACACTAACTAAAAATGACAGACCAGAGGGCAAAACAACCGTTTGATTTTTTGAGCTAAACGTCAATACTAAATCAATGAAAAACAAAAAGTGAAATGAAAACAGAGAATATGCTCTGCCATCACAAGAGGGCAGAGCATGGCTGACAGGAAATCTCCTGATTACTTGTGCACTTCAACCAACATGCCAGAATGCACGCAAGTCAACATCATAGTGTCAGGATATTCACTCCGCCACACTCATCACCCGTATCATCTGATTATGAAGCAATTAAAAAAATGAATTACAAGCAAACTTAAATTGAGATTGTTTTTTAACACAGCGGATTCAAGGACTATTGGAAGGATCTGCCTCAGAAGTGAGGCTGGTGTCACAAGACTTCACTGTTCGATTTCTACAACCAATCAAAGCTGACGTGAAAGTGCAAAGCGATTAGAACGGTTTGCCTTTCATGCGCCTTCCTCTTTTAAGCCCGAGGAGAGCTTGACTTAATTAATCAAGGCAGAGTAACACTTGTCAACACTTTATCTGTCACCGCTATGACCAGGATGTCTTCTATATTAAATCCACGCCCCTCATATTTTCACCGGCCACACCGAGCCCCCCCGCCGAGAGACGCTGAGCAGAGCTACAGTTACAACGCTGATGAAACTGGATGTTTATTTTGGCGTCCGTCTCTAAGGCCACCTGATGGGAAGGGATGATGTGCGTGATGAGCCGGTGGCTCCTGAGCTATGCGGGCTATTCGGTGGCAGGCCTCCTCCGGGCCGAGTGAAATGGAAATTACATGGAATGTGTACGATGAAGTTTGGGGGGGGTTGCCTGCGTTCCTGCGTGCCATCGCCAGACAGTACGGTGTGGAAAATGTTCTTCAGAGGACACAGGGCTGTAATTCGCGAACGCAACGCTGCCGTCAGGACACACCGTGTCCACGGTGGGGCTCAGAGACATGATGGAATTAACTGATTCAATCTTACAAGTTGTTTCTACTTATTCTCAGCAGTTTTTTGAATGTACCAAGCTAAGGCCAGGGAGGGATAACACATGCAATTCATTTACATCATCAGCAAGCAGCTGCTCAGCGCATAGAGAGGGCGCATGGGGAAACAATGATGATAATAAAACACACACATCTCAAGCTCACTAACAAGACCTTTCCATTTCATTTGTTTAAACTGTGCAAAAAATAAAGAGAAAGTTCTCTGAGCCACATACTTTGTATGCAGACAAACACAAATTGTCAGACACAGGCCCAAACTGTACTGCTCCTAGTTGGAGAGGCTCCATGTACCCCTGTTCAGTTATTCTTTGAACAAATGTGCAACACCAAATCCTTTGGTGGAACTTGGTATTCTTGGCATTGACGGACTCGGTAGTTGTTGTTTGTTCAGCTCTGATGTAGACGTTTGTATTGAACTGTGTGATAGCACAGTGTGTGATGACCCTGTGGAAAGGCCCTGAAATTATTAATGCGAAATAGAGGAAATACAGAGCAATTTTATATTATTAATCACACCTACGGTTTTCTTCTGTACACCATGTCAAAATGTCTGCCACGCATACTGTAAAGTTCAGCCAGGACCTTGAAACTAATGCACCTGAACGGAATACAGACATGAATTTGATCATTTACACATTTATACATTTTCCTTTTCTACTCTGACATGTTAAATGTAGCATTGTAATTGGGGAAGTCATTGCTTATTGATGCAAATACTGATGTTTTCTTGCGGTAAAGAACATGTACGAGTGGCTACTTCGAGGTACTTTGAACTAAACTGAAGGAAATAATGTTTCAAACTACTTTTTGGGAAAATAAACTAAACATACAGGCCATGCTGTCATAGTAGGCAATAATAAAAGACAGCAGAATTACAAAATAAGGGCCTGTGGGCACAGTTGGCCCCCCAGCTGCCACACCCCCGCGGGCCCCAAACTCCACAGGCCCCCAGACCTGTTGGATCTGTATTCTGGAAAATGTGTCTTGGTTCTAGTTGCCACAGTGTCACCATGACAGCTGCCCTTGCTGTGCAACAGACAGAATTAGTAGGATAAATGCAGCCGGAGACCGAGGGGTCTGCAGTTGTTGTCCGGATAAGAGATGTCAGATGAGACTGGAGCACGAGAAAAAGCACAAGGAGGGACCTATTAAGTTATTAAGACTGGGAATCCTTACTGAAACTTCTTGGAACGATCTGGACATCAGACTCACGCATTGTCAGATGAGATGATGGCAATCAGCCCTCAATAAAGGAACAAAATACTCAGAATTTCTCTGCACTCACATAGATGCCCACACATAGTGTTTTACCATAAAAAATGGCACTGATCAATAAATCCTTTTAATTATTGTTATTTTATTTTTCAATAGACAATATCAGTAAAGATTGAAATATTCAATATTATTTTTAAGGATCCTTTCTGCCCTTTTTTCAGCCTCTATATTGATCTCAGTGCTTTCTAATGTTACATGAGACGATTCAGATTGTATTAATTCTGTATTCGTTCTGCTCTTTGCGTGGTTTTATACACATAAAAGGCAAAAGGAGCAAAGACAAAAGACAAACATCTAAATAGCATCTAAAATAAAGTGTCGGGTGACTAGCAGGGTTGAAGCATCCCCATAACCCCTTCAGGGTATTAGCGGTCTGCGAACACAACACCGGGCTTAATGACTGAAGATTTGCTGTGTGGGTCTATATATGATAGACCCACATCACTACTTTGGCACAGAGCGAAGACAGAGTGAAAACGAGCACAGGAGGCTTTTAATCATTGTCATGAGTTTGAACGTCAGGGAACAAAGCAAACAAACCGACGGTGAGGAAAGTGCACAGGAACAGGTGTTGTAGTTTGGGATGAAAGTAATTCTGTCTTCGCTAATTTAAACTTAAAATTTAAATAATTTAGTTGCTTTTGCAAACCATACATTTCTTTTTTGTTATATGTTTTGTTTTTCTTGGTTTGTTTTGGGGATGTATCTGTCCTAATTGTTAAGAAATTAAGAAATATTAACAGGTATGCATTTAAGGATCAATGTATGCATGAACTATTGAGCACCGGCCTCTTAAATGTACTGTCCAGAATGAGCTGTACTCTCCCCATTAAATCCTCTTCAGCCAAGTAAACCCAACCAACCAGTTTTGATTTGAATTATTTGGAAAATAATTAGATTTCAGTTTCAAATGATCCTGATGCAGATACAAGATATCATGAAAAGTGACTCACTTCTCTGTGTAGATGCACAGTGAGCAACGGGGCCTCAGGCCAAACCACCCATGCAGGACACGTTCATGAATGGAAGATATTCTTTGACTTAAACACACGCTTGATTTCCAGCCTCATTTGACTCTTGCTCTCATTCATACAGTGAAACCCACAGTTCTGTTTGGGAAGGGATTTTTTACTTTTTGAAAAATGTAGAATACTTTAATCAAATCTAATGACATTTTGTGATGGGAGGTTATGTGGTGAAATTCTGCGTACTTTACTAATATCTACCAGATGACCATAACACATGATGTCAATTGGCCTGTCCAAGAAAAACAATCTGGCAAAAAATTTTGTTTTTGTTATTGGAGCAAGTTTTAAATAAATTGAGGCTAGTCAGGCTAAATTGTATCTAAAAAATAGAAACTAGGACCTTTCTGTAAAATTTAGGAAACCATCACACGTAACTCTCAATAAGAAAAGAAGAATCATTTTTATTCCATTACGGAAATCTCAAGATCACACAAGAAACACAGACTATGATTTTTATCTAAATCTATTTAATTAATACACATTGTTTAAAAATAATCTATTTGTGGGTCATCAACACAAAATCCAAAGTGGTAGTCAGAAGTTCGATAGTGACACGTTTAATTTTACCCCGAAATGATTCTGTCCCTCTTCATCAGCGCTAATTGCCCACTTGAGACCTCCGTAGGGGAAGATGCACGTTCTTTAAAGTCAGTTGCTGGGATCCATTTCCCCCAGTTTGACAGGCAGCGCAGTGAAGTTTCTCCAGAGGATCATACTGGATCTTGGGTGACCCGGCGGAATCCCAGTTCAATTGGTTGCTGTGGCATTAATGATTAACGGTCCACTAGTGGTGATGTGGTTGGCCTTGCCTGACCTTTCCACACGGCTGAATTTGCAGCTGAAGTAAGCACCAGGCTTTAGCATCACGATAGCCTTGCATTGCCCTAAACAGCTGCACCGTTATCCCCTGGCCTCAGCAGCTGAGTTGGAGGCTTCCATCCGGAGCTGAGTGGGGGGAGGAATGACCGCGGACCAGCCAAAGACAAACAAGACGCAGAGGCTGCATGGGGGCTTGGGCACAATGGCCGAGGGCACGCGCTCGCAGTCTTCAGTCAGTCTGAATACTTCAGTTGGTCATAAAGCATATTGGCCCTTGTGGCATTAATAAGACCACATGCCTGAACTTAGGTGAACTAAAATGACTAGTAAGTGAACTAAAATGAAAAACTGTTATTTAAATAGGCAGACATTGGGCCTATGTATAGTAATATATTTATGAACATATGTGATTTATAGGGGTGGGGAATCCCAGTACATTGGATAAAGCAATGGGAAAGTGCCATGTTTGTTGGGCAGTAATGGAATCTATTCCCAATCTTTTCTTCTTACCTAGCACAACACCCTCTTTTGTCTTAACAAACTGTCATCGGACTTCAATTTCGCCTACGAGTCCGAATGTCAAAGGTCCCTGTTTGTACATGCTGCCTGTTTCCAACCAATTTAGCAGGGCATTTATTGCAAATTTACCCACAAGATTAAATCAAGTTTCCTTTTGACATGACAGAGTTAACAAGCCAACATCTCCATTTAAACATTGAAAAGTTAAACAACACAGCTTAATACAGAAAAAACAAGAACAAATTGATTAAAACCGTACTTCTTGCAACGGCTACTTTAACAAGACTAAGAGTTTACACCCTTGATGACAACCGTGTGAGGCTGATCTGAGATGCTAATGTCAGCATGCTATGATACCGATCTTTATTATTTATAACACCACACTTCATACCCGCATCCCATAGCCGCATTTTGGCGCTAAACACAAAGTACTGCTGATCCTGATGGGAGTACCGTTAGTTGTGTAGGATTTTGGTCATAATCCCATTATGTGTGAAAACTATGACCTCATGATGTCTCTGACGATCCGATCATCCAGAAATAGGAACCAGGGAATCACCCAATTCAATAGGCTTCATCCTGTGGGGGCCGTACAAAACGTCTGTTCAGATTCCTCCTTTCAATTCAACACATTGAGATGGTTCAGAAGCCTGGAAGTGGTGGACCAGCCGTACAACACATCATCAACACATGAACTTAAATACATGCATTCAAGTAGACGCAACACACACACACACACACACACTCTGCAGAGCCCCAAAAATAGAGCACTTGAAACTAGTGACGCATTTTCTCACTAGAGAGTGTCAAGGGACCACTTGGTCAGGAAGACCTGGGAAGGAGAGAGAGAGACAGGGAGCAAGACAAATGCAGGGAAAGAGAGAGAGACAGGGAGAGAAAGTGAGAGAGAGAGACACACACACAGAGAAAGCAATACAAATAGAGAGAATGACAGTGATGGCATGAGGAAAGACAGAAGTGGGAGCAGCGGGGGTTGATGGAGGGTGGTGTACTAGCGTGAGTGGTGCTGCAGAAAATAGTGTAAATAATTTTGTCAGTAACCATGCAGGTGTCTGTCGTTACCGGGCCTGGACACTGTACCCGACGGGTTGGAAGTGGATGCTCATTCCCCTGCGAGACGAAGTAGAGGGAGGCAAAGACAGACGAGACATTTGAGTCAGGACAAATCTCACAGGACTACAGTCTATGACGTCCTTGGCATCTTTTTCATCAACTGGCCATTGGAAGATTATATCATTATGTAACAGCGTGTGTGTGTGTGTGTGTGTGAGTGTGTGTGTGTGTGTGTGTGCGTGCGTAATATTATGACACTGATAACAGTAAATTTGTCTAATGTAGAGAAAACAGCGATCGATACGTTGCTTTTCTCAAGAAAGTTTGATTGAGAGGGACGGTATGATAAGGCCTTCCTGTGGAGAAACACAAATATTAGACAGACGAAGGGAATTCATGTTAGTGAGCAAGTGAATCACCGAGTATGTGAGAGAGTGAACAACTGAGTGACCTTAAAAGGCCACACGTCCTCGCTGGTGGCTCAATGAGCGAGTGAAAGGGGGTCCAGGGGTCATCGCTGTGAAGCGTCGCTGTATTTATAGACCATCTCTAAAAACATTCCCTGCCACCCCTCCCCCTTCGTCCCCCCGCCACTCGCCCCTCCCTGGTTTTCAATTAGCCCTCGATGGGTGGAGTAATGCAATCAGGAGTAACTACGCCTCAACCGGAGCCTCCTCTCTCAGTCTGCCCAGACTCCGCACAGGCAAACACTCCTCAAACAGGAAGGTAAGACCCAACTCTGTTCAGCTGCTCCACTATGCATCCATCCACCCCTCCACCTTTCCACGCATCCATCCTTTCGTTGGTCTCCATTCACTATGTCTTCCTCCATCCTCCAGGACACAGACGCTCCCTGTGCTCTGGCATCCTGCCGTCCACCTGCTCATGTTCCCCCTCTTTCCACCTGCACAGTACCTGCACTATTTAACCCCCTCTTCTACCCCCCCATCTATCTGCCCTTACTGTCGGTCTCAGAGACAGACGCACTTCCTCTTTCATTAAATCATCTGTCTCCAAAAGAAATGTTCAACCCCTGTTGACCCCTGTGAGTTCTTTTCCAACTGTCTGTCCTCTTTTCTCATCAGCCTCAGACTTTCCCTTCAGATAAACTGTGTTAGTGAAGGGGGCTTACTATTAAACAGTCAATTGAATTTGTATTTCATTTACTTCGGGATTTCTTTTGAACATTCTTCAATTTAGGGCTTTATTCAAGTGGACATTTTGTTCTTACTGACGGTTATTAAGACTCATTTAATTAACGAGGAATTGTTTGGTGCCATGTTGCTTTGAAGCAGAAGGCATTGACGTGAGCAGGATGTAGAAGAGCTGTAGACATTGGGTTTTCTTAAATCGCAAAAATAATATATATATACATACATTTTTTTTTCAGCCAAACTAAATTATTGATTCCTTGCAAAAACGTTTTTGTAAGTAAACGCACTGCAGAGTTGCTTGAGGGGGATAAATCAGGCAGCACCAGGGTCAAGCACTTGCCCTACAAGTGGCCGTCGCTTAGTTTGCCATCAAGCGATTTGGTCTGAGAGACTCCCGGATGGGCAGCATCAAAGAGACCCCCGGAGCTGGGAAACAGCTGCACGGCGGGTTTGAAAAGCTGGAGGTTTTATTTGTGGCGGTTGAGATTATCCTTTTTTATTTTTAGGAGTCCGATAAATCCTTATATAAGCCAGGCGAGTCACGGTTGGAGCGATAGACAATGAGGGAATGTGGGAGGAGGGAGAATAACTTGAGAACCAACAGATAATACCTCTCAACTTGAGCCAGATAAAAGAGGCTACCCCCAACAATTCATGCACAGGTCTTCGTGTGGTTGAGAAGTAACGCTGACTGTACGAGCACAATACAACAGACAGATGAAGGGAACAACAACTGAGGAGTCCAGGTGAATTAGGAACAAGAAATTCAAGAAAAAGAGTGGTCAGGACGGACATGATTTGTTAGTTTTTTATTAGCCTCCTTGTAGGGTCAAAGCTTTGTGGAACACATATGTGTGTGTGATAATATAGTGTTAATAAACACTATATTCAGGCTAATTTCAAATCTTCCCATATAACCTTTTGTCACACCTTGTAAAGATGCCCTCACACATGTATTGACTGTACTATTGTTGGTCCAGAGAGAGCAAGAGTGTTTAGGCACAGGTGGGATAACCAGAAGGCTTAACAGGCAGACCACAAACAGCTGCAGATTGTGAGCAGCCATTATTACTACTGCCATTCAAAGCCACTTATTCAGAGACACACTCGCACACACGCACGATGACAAGAGATACAGTGATACGGTGCTGACAGCTGGCGCAGAGGTGATGGATGAGTCAGTGTGCAGCGGCACGGGGAGAGCGGGTATGCAATGGGGGTAAAGTTGACCGTCGCTAAGCAGGACTGATAGAAGTTATTTATGTCCTTCTCATCTGTCACCTTCTAGTTCTGACGCGCAGAACAAAATGAAGGAGTGCTGAGAGATGGGGGAGAGAGATGAAAGGGAGCGAAATGCGACATCGGACAAGGATCTTGATACTGAAAACATGTATTGCTTGGAATTAACAATCCCTAAAAAGTGGTCAGCGTCAGTGGAAATATATTTTGAACTGAGAAGGAAAAAGACAAAACTGCCTAAGAAGCTTTATGTTAATGTGCATTATGTCGCATTCCTCAGACAGAATCTCTCTTCCCTCACTTCCTGCGTCTCTTCGTGTTTCCCTCTTCTAGGTTAAGAGGCTCTCTGTGAAAATGACTGAGCGATACGACTGCCACTACTGCAAAGAGTCCCTTTTTGGGAAGAAGTATGTGCTGAGAGAGGAAAATCCCTATTGTGTGAAATGTTATGAGAGCCTGTACTCCAACACCTGTGAGGAGTGCAAGAAGCCTATTGGATGTAACACCAGGGTAAGATCTACCAAAGAAATACATCGAGCATGTGATCCTGATGGGCTCTTTCTGTGCATTCCAGTCTTGAACCCCATTTTTCACCCAAGTGGGCTCGGCTCTAACCATCCATCTGATGTTCCTGTAGGATCTGTCTTACAAGGACCGTCACTGGCACGAGGAGTGCTTCATGTGCTTCCAGTGCAAGCGGTCGCTTGTGGACAAGCCCTTCTCTACCAAGGACGAAAAGCTCCTCTGCACCGAGTGCTACTCCAATGAGTATTCCTCCAAGTGCCACGAATGCAAGAAAACCATCATGCCAGGTAGGAAGAAGACTACAAAGGGTTTGGGTTAGTGTATATTCGAGTTGAGTCTACACCGAAGCAACATAGGGCAATCCAATTTTTGACATTGACAAATGGGTGTGTCTGTGGATGGTTTACAAATGATGCTGCGAATTGTGTCATTACAAAGCTGAATGAATTATGTGTGATTATCTCAGGGAAAGAGCGCACAAGCTGTTGAGAACATGTGTCTGTAACACCATGTAAATGTACAGGCTAGGTTTGTGATTTGTTAAAGTTCCACAAGTTGTGTAATAAATGAAGTAAAAACATTATTTACATTGAGTTGGTAGTCTAACTAATCGGTTGTTCTCACAAACAAGACCAAATATATATTTAAATGTACATTCTTTCTTGACACTAAAACCCACATTCAGTTCTTTAAATTCTTCTTGAATCGACCCCTCGTGTTGTATGTCTGCGAAGGCTCCAGGAAGATGGAGCATAAGGGGAACAGCTGGCACGAGACATGTTTCACCTGCCAGAGATGTCAGCAGCCTATTGGCACCAAGAGCTTCATCCCGAAGGACAACAGCAACTTCTGTGTGCCCTGCTATGAGAAGCAGTTTGCCATGCAGTGTGTGCACTGCAAGAAGGTAGGACACCCACCTGGAACTGCTGTTCAAAGCAGCGTTCAATTATTACCCATCTTCACTAAAAGACACACAAACACCGCCTGAAGTGGGGCCATATGACATTCCTGATTCTTCTTATTAGCCCATCACCACTGGTGGGGTGACCTACCGTGACCAGCCCTGGCACAAGGACTGCTTCCTGTGCACCAGCTGCAAGCAGCAGCTGTCTGGCCAGAGGTTTACCTCCAGAGACGACTTTGCCTACTGTCTCAACTGCTTCTGCAACCTTTATGCCAAGAAGTGTGCCTCCTGCACCACCCCCATTAGCGGTAATCACAAATAAACTATTTTTCCTGTCGTGCAATTTTGGGAAAGTGTGAGAGGCGGATATTTAAATACGCTTTATGCTGTCAGCATTGGTTGATATGGCATTAAAGTCTGTGCTTTATTCATCGTTCTTCATTGTTTTAACTTGTGCTTCCCTTTCAGGCCTTGGAGGCAGCAAGTACATTTCCTTTGAGGAGCGCCAGTGGCACAATGACTGCTTCAACTGTAAGAAGTGCGCCGTGTCCCTGGTTGGCCGTGGCTTCCTCACCGAACGGGATGACATCCTCTGCCCGGAGTGCGGCAAGGACATCTAATTCCGTCGGAAGGACAGCGGATACATCTGATTGGAGGATTATGTTACAGTAGAGGGATGACAAAGATGCAATAAATACACCTAACACACAACATAGCATCTTTACGACCTAGCATTACTATGAATGTACATTGTTGTATGCCAAGTAATAAAAACTACTAACAGTATTATATACATTTTAATAGATTGAGAGAAAAGAAATCTCTAAGAAAAAGTTATCACTAATAAAATAACATTAATGTAAAGACTTATGCGACAGAAATATGGTTGCAAATAGATACTGTATGAAGCGTTTTGAAATATTTAGTGTAGACTATCCACTTTGTAGTGTAATAATTGTTGCTTTGCCCACAGACGAGCGTGATGCCATAATTAGTAGAGGTTTCGTGAATGAGGTTCTTGTATTAGCAATTAAATACATTCATCAAGTGTCTTTACTGTTTTAATTGGCAACCAAAGCTATCACATACATTTCAGAATTATTTGTACAAAAAAAGGGTGAAAATATTTATAGTACCAGTCAAAAGTTCTCATTCAATTCACTGAGAAAGTGTGTGGAAACGTCTGACTCGTACTGTACACTGCATAACTTTTGAACAAAAAAATGCAAATCCATTTCATACTGAACGTAGTGCAGATTGGTGAGATGATGACCTCTAAAAGACGGTGGTGTTGGGGGGGTCCAATACTTCGGCAGGGAAAAAGAGCAAACGTTGTGCTATAAACACACTGCCTGATGCAGCTGTGTGTTGTCCTGTTATCGCTTAGCTGACACACCCTCAAAAAATAACTGTGGATGGGTGACTCAGCTGCGTTAGCGGCCTTTAACAGTCTTGTGCCTGCAGAGAGTAGTGAGTGAGGAGTCCTGGGATTTAAGGCTATAGCTAGATATCAGCATTTCAATAATGGAGGTAAAACAGTGCGTATAGCTGAGCCTGCTGGTTACCATGGCTGCAGCTCAGCCTCAGCCTGTGTCTTCCGGGTTTAGCAAGGAGTTGCAGAAGGGTTGTTTTCGCTCAGAGCACTTGAACAATAAGCTCTTTAATTATGGATTTATTTACCGAATGATGCAAAAAAGAACACTGTTAAGAATTTAGATTTCCTTTATTTTTTTCCCTACAAAGTCTGTTTAAGCGTACTTTACAGCATATCACACATGGACCACAAAGCTACTTCACTAAAATTCAACAAAAGATATTTATTTTAAAAAGCATCTGTACAAACTTTACACTGGATTTCCCAATGGATTGAAAATGCATCGCAATTCTTTTTGATGAAATCTCATTGGTTTCAAAGAAAGAAACAACGTCAATCTATACACAATTTAGAATACTTTCCAAAGTAACAATATTCCTGGTTTAATCTATTTTCCTCTTTTGTAGAAATTGTTATCAGCGTTCAAGTACATAACAAATGTAGCTTTCTTTCTGTGTCAAAATGGCTATTTAACATTGGATTGGTATACAGCTTCAAAAAAAGGGAAAAAAAGAAGCACAACTAATATTTAAAAACCCTAAACAGTAAACCCTAAAAGTCCAAACATCAGTTCAGAAGAAAAAAACGACTACTACCACCAGTTCAAACACACACTATTTTGCTTTGCACCACCTAATAACGTGTTGACAATTAATCTTAGATGTGGTCATCAGTCGTAATCCCAAACTATGAGCGTCTGTAGCATTTGTGTTTAAGTTGGTCCATTTATTCATGTCACGGTAGAATCACTTACCACACTTCAAACAAACCTAGAAAGGAGAAGCACCCACTCACCTTTTGCAAATCAGTACCGGACAACCATTGTTTCCATTAAAGAAAATAAAAGTTGCGCTACTTGTTTTGTCCTTGGGAAGGTGTCTGCGTGGGACACGAGGAGAGTTGCTGATCATAGATGGTAAGGGCACTTGCGGTTGTGGAAATCTACAAGGAAGCTTGTTACTCTAAAAGCAAAAACCCCAGGGGGAACCATCCGGTCAGCTCGTGGGAGAAAGAGAGCAGTGAGGTGGACACACAGGTTCACGGGGTTCCATCCCTCTTGGGATAGAACTAGTTGGATAACTGTGATGGGGGCAAGCACAGATACTGAGATACAACATTCAGTGGGAAAGGAGGTCTGTCCTTCAGGGTCTGTGTGCATATCGGAGGTCAGGGCCATGTCACATGCTGGATCTTCTTCTTCACCTCTGGAGACGTCAATGATCCCTGAAGGGATGGAAGGTGAAGCATTAAAAGGGCATTTTTAAGGGGTCAAATGTAATGTGTTACTGATCAATTAGTATTACGATATGTGTGGTTTATTACATGTTTTCTGTTTAGAACTATGAATCGAAGCGTTTTTTCTGGCAAAACACTTGATTTGATCTCTGTTGTAAATCATTTGTAACTGAAAAAACATTTAATGTAACATGTATGTTAAATAATAGCATGTCCTGTTTTTTGCTGGATGTCTCCATGCCTCTTTAGGGGTACGATTTTATCTTCATCTGCAGTATTTGTAGTCATGTAGTCGAGTGTATCGGGAAAGTCTCTGTAACAATGATGATATCAATGCACACTTTCCTTGACTCACACGGTACTTTTACACGTAATGCATAACCGAGGAGAGAAAACAAAACGTTCCTACCGAGTTGTTTGCTTCCCGTTGGAGGTTTGCTGTGTCAGGGGTGCAATGAATGGACGAGGAAGGCGTGTTTCCAGACAGCTTGCAGACGGGGTTAAACAGGTTTGAAGCAGGAGGAGGTTTTAACCGGTCAATGGTTCCCGTCGACAAGGAGGTTCCTTCTGTTTTCTTTACTTTTAGCGGGCCAGAGTGTGAGGAACTGCCATCAAATACAATCGGAGGCCTTTTCCTGTTGTGGTCGTTCCTGGAACTGAAAACGAACAAACAAGAATTACAAGAGTTTTACTTTGTTTACACGAACATGTAGCCAGCAGAACACTTCAAACTACTGGATTTTGGGCTTTATACTACTCCACCACTCTGAGCAGATCGCTGCAGAGGTCACCTTAGTTCACTATTTGGGACTTTAAATGGTGGACACTTCTGTCAACATCTTTGGTCATGTTCCGAGTCTCATTCTGTAAATACTTAGTAAAGAATTACTTTTCAAAAACATATTGTGATACCGTCTCAATATAAAGCTAAAATGAGTGATGCACAAAATAAACAGCTGGCAGCTCACACTGAAAGCATTAACATCCCTTGGAGCTCATACACTGGGAACACATCCAGCATCTCGAAAGCCTCCGTGGGAGCGAGCGGTACCTGTGGGACGTGTGACCGGCCGCGGCGCGCTGCCCTCGGATCGCCTCCATCCTCTTTCCCCAGCGGCTGTCCGGCAACGTCCTCTGCGGCAGCGGGATGACGTGCCGCAGGTAGAGCTCCGTGAGCCGGTCCCGAGTTTCACGCTCACCGGTGCTCACGTGTTTCTGATTCGGACCGAGAAGAAACCTGTTAGCTGAACTTGTTTCTTAACATTAGGAAGATTAGCGAGGCCTCGCCGGTGAGACGAGCCGGCGCACACGCACCGTGTCTCCGCCAACAGTAACTCACCTCCCGTAAGATCAGCTGCAGGAAGTCGTGGGACAACAGCTCGGGGTGCAGTAATAGATCCACGGCCGAGCTACAGACGGCTTTCCCGTCTCGCTCCGTGGGGGTCGCCATATTGGATGCGATTATTTTCCCAGCATGCAGCGCGTCATAACAACACGGCGTATTTTTCTTTTCGACCAACTTTATTGAGACAGTTCTCATCGCGCAGGTCGGTCGACTCGAGTCCACAATCCCCGACAAGAAAAGTGTCATAAAGGCTGAAATGAGAGAGAATAAAGGTGAATATGTACTTTTACAAGGCTCAGATTGGCTACACGTTTTAACATATGTTTGTTTTTAGGCTACATTAAGAGGAAGAGGAAACGTTGGCCATTGTGTATTGAGAACACTGTTCTAATACATTCATATTACTGCTGCATACATGTTTATGTTACATTGTATTGTACAGCAATGTATCATATTTTATAAAATTGGCATATACTGAATGTGCCAATGATATCATGAGAACCAGGTGTCTAAACCAGCCTCGTTTTCACTTCTGTGACAAAGCATTTTTTAGTCTTATACGCCTTACGTTTATTTAGCTTAAGAGGATAAACTTCTTGAAAAAAACAACCCTTCGCTCTTTTCCACAAACACCTAAAAAGCCACACATTGAAGATCCATGTTTTTTTTACTAGACAGGATTTGAAAGACTGATCTATATACCATCTACCATAAAGCTGACAGGCATATATAGTAACAAGACCCGTGTAACAAAACTTACATACAACATACCTACCTACCTTATAAAGTAGAAGAAATATGTGAACAAGCGTTTTAGCCTATTAGCATTTAGCCCTTTGAATTTACAAATTCTACGCAGTTTGTAACCAACAACGGAAACCATTCTTGATTAATTACGTTCTGTTTGAATGGTTTGAAACTGTGTTTCTTGTCATCAGGTTCAACTGTATCAATACAATATACAGCATAAATGTATTTCACACACTTCACAAACAAAATCAAGCGCGTTGACCTACTATGCCGGCAAACTCAACAAATATAAGAAAATGTGACACAGGTAGTATTTATCTTTTAACATCCTCTCAAGTTGATGTTTGAAATTGTTTTTACTGCTGTAAATAAATTTATCTAAGTTTCAAATTTCAAACTGATATAAAGACCATGTTCTTGAGCTTTTTCTGTTGTGGGAAACTACAGATCAGTCTCAGTCTCGTGTCACAGCATAAAAAGTCCCTTCTCAGATGAATGAGTTGTTGAACAGAACTGATTACATCAAGACAGTAATGTGATATAGAAGCAACCTTGTGATCTAATTGAAGTGGTAGCATGTTGGCTGTCATGTGTTGGCACATGATTTAATGTATTGGCGTAAGTAAGTGTGTCACGTTATTGAATCTTAACATTTATGAAGATTGGATGGACTCCACCGTAGCCATTAAACATCCTAACCATTAAAGCGTACCAGCTGCCACAGTATAAAATGTTAATATGACTTCTACAGCTGACTTGATTGATTGATTTGTTCATGGCTAGAATAATATATTGTCTACTTTGTGAATCCATAAATTGTTTCAGGAATTTTAAGCTAAACTTCCAAACATGATTATTTTCATTCCTCTCGTATACCATAATGAGCATTTGCTGCTTTTCTTCTTCTTGTGTGATGAAAAATCTGCTATTTAGGACATTTAGATTCACCAATTTTGAATATATCTGATACTCTCAGATCACAAAATCAGGAGACCATGTCTAAACCAACCCAGGTCTTACTGTGAAAAGGTTTTTCCGCTGACCTGGGTCCAGACCTACGCGATCAATGCAAAGGTCTCTCATTTGTTCAGAAATTATTTTAAATGAATGAAGTGAAACAAAATTATATTTAGGTCTTTTAATGAGCATGAGAATTTTGCAAGACATGGAGCTGTCAAAATTTGCAAAGATGAACAGCACCATCTTCCTGTTTCATGTGGTACTTCAATACAACCTACAATCTTTATTTAAATAAAAATGCCAAACATATTCAACACTACAGTGCACTCACTCAATTTGTTCATTCAGCATTGGGGTTCAATAGCTAAAGAACCCTTAACATTTCTGTGCAGGAGTCATCCTTCAAATGGTATTACCTGAATTGTAAACTGATATAATTGACTACACGAATAGCTGTGGAGACACTGTGCATCCACTCAAAGGGAATCGATGCCTTTGGTAACCCGCAGATGGCTAAACTGTATTTTTCATCTTTATTTATGAAAAGATCATACATGTAAACATCCACAGCTCAATAACTGACACACTTCTTTGATGACACACACACACATTTTTAAATAACAGTTTCAACTTGCACAATGAGGCCATTTTGCTGCACAAATGTTTTTTTTAACAGTCAGTTAAGCTTACTGACTTTCCTCTGAGAACATTACTGAACACTTATACTGTGCAGGATTTTTCTTTTGTCTAAAGTCTGAAGAAACAGAATGCCACGATGAAACACATCACAGACTAATTATGAAATGGAGAACTAAATTGACAATGGATGATATGAAATTGCTTGGCAGTACATTTCCAAAACCATAGTGCTGGCTTCAATTGATAGTTCATCCTTTCAGTGCGATTGCTTTGTCAAAGACAAGTACAGTACAGTGTTTAAGTTGAGTTCTGATTCCTATTCATGAGGAGGAAGTAAGAGTTGAAAACAGTGCGTGTCAACACCTGCTGGACGGGCATCAACCGACTGTCCCTCCGCGCTTCACACAGCTGACTGAGTCTCGCTGCACACGTAGATGTTGCTCGGCCTCACCCTCCTGCGGCTCCTGCCCGGCACTCTGGGACACAGTCTGCAGCTCTTGGGAATGAACTCCTGACAGGCCTCCCTGAACTTTCTGATCCTCCAGCAGTAGATGACGGGGTTGAAGACCGTCTTCAGGTAGCTGAGCCACAGGGCTCCTATGCTGACTGGGTAGAAGACCGAGCTGTAGTAGAACCGCCGGCTGAACACCGCCAGCAAGCTGACCACTGTGTGCGGCAACCAGCACACGGAGAAACCGACGAAGAGGATGAGAATGGTGGTGAAGGCTCGGGTCTTGAAGCTCATGTCCACCTTGATCTGAGGGGGCCGCTGCAGGCCGGTAAGTCTCATTTTGCTGACTTGGTTGAGTGCTGGCAGGCAGGAATGCTCACTGGTGTGGTTGTGGATGCGCAGGGTGTTGCGGCGCACGGTGTTGAGGATGCACATGTAAGAGTAAAGCATGACGGCAAACGGTACGAAGAACACCGCAACCGCCAACAGCACCGTGTAGCCGCGGTCCGCCAGGGAGTCGCTGTAACCCAGCACGCACTGCGGCGCCCAGGCGGCCCCCATGCCCGCTGCGCCTGTCCTCCACCCGACTACAGACGGCAGAGACACGCAGAGGCTCAGCACCCACGAACCGGCGATCAACAGCTTCGCCCTGTGCGGGGTCAACTTGTCCTGCCGTTGCACAATGATGAGGAAACGGTCCACACTGATTATGAGGAGTATGGACACCCCCTCCAGGACGAACAGCCAGTACAGCATGATGGAGGCTCGGCAGAAGCCGCTTCCGAAGCTCCAGTCGGCAGTGGCCACGGTGACCGCGGTGAAGGGCATGCAGAGCAGGGAAAGCATAATGTCCGAAAAGGCCAACGTGGCGAGGAGGAGATTGATAGCAGAACGCATGGCAGGTTTCTGGTAAACAATCAGACACACGATTGCGTTGCCGAGGAAACCGATCGTGATCATGAAGATCATGATGGCGGCCAGGGTCACGCGCAGAGTGACCGGTATGAGGGGAGTAGCAGCCTCTGAAGGGACGCTGTCCGCTGCTTCTTCCACCATCTCCGGCCCCATGAATCCGCACGCCTCCTCCAGCAGGCTTTCATTGCAAAAAGCCATCGCGGCTATTTTTAGGGATGTCAGCCCAAAATAATGAACATGTTTGATTATTGTCGAGGTATGCACTTTAAGGTGTCTTCCAGCAGATGGTCCTCCATGGTAATATCTGTGATAAAAAGAATGTTGACAAAAACACAAAGCATAAACGCAACCTGTAAACAAACAGTCCCTATTATATAAGGCAGAGCCACCTCATTGGGAGATAAAGTCTCACCGGACAGACATGTGCCGCTCACCGGCTTGAATGAGGTTGATGATTAACAGCTGTTCAGACTCACATGGACACGTACACAAACATTCACACCACCGACCCTCCAAAGCAAACAGTACATGCAATTCCTCCCACATGAATAGAAATACACACATATACACAACAGTATAGTACAAACCATGGCGCAGCATGTCTTCCTTCAACTGAGCAGAAGCTCATTCTCGGATGATGCATCAGACTCTGATGCAATTTTGATTAAAAAATAGAGAGTTCTCCTCAGGACAGGTTCGTTGCTATGGTTTCCACCTCCAGCTCCTGATAGTGGGACAGTGGGGACGATGCATGGTAGTCATTGTGGCGTTCAGGTCTCAGATGTGATCCTTCCAGGTGGACTCTTATTTGCTAGGAGACAAGAAGAGGAGTTCAGGGTCATTGAGTCTCATGTTCAGTTCCTTTTCACCCTTTTCAATCTTGCTGTCATCTCCATGCAGAAGATATCTTCTTCTAGTATGTACTACTATATCAAAGACTTTGATAAATGTCCTATAAGACCTAACAGTGTCCCAGCAAGCACAATAACCCCAGCAGGGAATCAGGAAACATTTATTACCAAAATATATCAAAATATGTCAGACAACAGAACCCAGAAACTGAATTCGGCCATCAATGACTTGATCATTAACACGCTTCTTGTCCTGAGCTACAGGAGCAATGTTGGGCTTGAGTGTCCTGCCTAAAGACACAGCGGGACGCCAGTTAGCTGAGCCTGGGATCGAACCGCCAACCCTCACGGCCGTGCTCCCCACTCACCCACAGTCTCTCCACTGACATTCTTGCACAACCACATTGTAAGCCGCTGCATAGTGTAGCTGGCTGTTCCCATGGCAACTAGGTCACCAGTTCCATAGCAACAAGCAGCCTGTACTCTGATTCCCTTTGAAAAAAGATGGTGTGTTTCACAGTGTTTCACATTTTTTCTTGAAACAACGCCTCTAATTTCAGGACATTCTCTTTTGGAAT